ACGTAGCATAAATTTCGGTTTACAAACTGCCAGCTTTTACCTAAATTTCAGGCACTGAGCTTCAGTTAGAGTACCCAGGTCCATTGTGGTATTACACGCTACATAAACTGCTACGGTCACTTAAGGCCATGTGAGATGGACCAAATACAAGAAGGGAAGAGACTCAAAGGATGCATGTTTGTTGTTACACCAGGAGCGCACTCTGTTGTTCCCTATGAAATGTCAGAGGCAATGTTTTCACTCTCCGGTGCAAATTCCTTTCCGTTATGAAATGATTAAGTTGTGCCTGCCAATTCCTTCCCCTCCTTTCTGTCAAGTTGCCATGGCAACATCACACCATGGCTTGCATAACAAATGCCAATTTTTGACCATCTTTCTGTCATAGCCTGTGTTTTTAAAGATGTGCCCTGAACCTTAGAGCCATTCTGTGCACTTCTGCACTACGATCTCTCGGCGTGCATGGGGAAATCAACTTAATGAAAGAGGATTAGAAAAGAAAATCACAAACACATAATCAGTCTATATGCAATTCAGCTACTGAGGTAAATTAATCCTTATGTTTAAAAAAAACACCCCAAAACAAAACAAAAAACAAGGAGCAGATTTCCACAACCTCTCCTGCTGATTTAAAAGGGATTTGAGGTGACTTCTCACAGCAATATGTTTTGCCCAGTGTCTTTCCACAGTAAATGGGAGCATGTTGAAAATATCACCACAGCCCATCCTCTGGTAATCATTGTTTCCAATGGTTCACATTGCTAAAGACATGCCCATCATTTCTCTGTTGGCACTTCCTCGGGATAGCAGACATATTTCCATGTGGGCTCAGGACAGAATTAAGTCTGAGCACTGATCATTTTTTTACTGACAAGAAAGGAAGGCTGAAGAAAACAGCAGGGCTGCTGAACCTGTATTCTGAGAAGATCTAGGACAGACTGCTTAGTCTTCTCCAAAAGCATTCTTCCTACACAGCATTCCTTTTCACAGGGAAAACAAGACCCCTCTCTCTCCACACAGAAGATACTAGAACATAGCCAAGCCTGGAGATGGGACTACAGCTCCCAGAATACTCAGGAGAGTAGAATTGCTATCTCAAAGTGAGAGGGATGGATGGTGTTTTTAATCTTCTTAACATGTGGTCCATGCTAGATAATGATAAATGAAATGGATCCACTCTTGGTTCACTCTGAACAGGAGCACAGGGATTTGGGAGATCTCTGGATCCCCATTTTTAAAAGATCACAAAATGGGGAGGAAATGCAAAATGGAATTGTCTGGGAGTATGCAGCACCCTTACAGCATGACTGATCTACTCAAAGCCCATACAACAATCATCTTTCCATAATCTGACATACACACATGCAATCCTAACAGTGTGAATCAATTTCAGTAAAGTTTAGTATTGTATGCAGAGCGAGAGAGCACATGTGAAAGAAGACTATTCCAGAAGGCCAAAGCTATCCAAACAGGGAAGCAAGCCATTCTCTTTGTCTTTCAGCACTGCAAAATGGCTGATGGTATGTACAGCTCATGGTAACCTCAGTCTGAGCCCTCCATTGTGCCTCTACGGTTGGAATGTCCAGGAAGATCTTGGGCTTTATTGAGGGGCTCAGTCCACCCTCTCTTTTGGTATCAGCCATTCAGTCCACTGTATTACTTTCAATTTCCTCCCCCCCCATTGAAATTGCTGACCATCAAGATCTTTGTTGTGCTGTTGCTTCACCATGTGAGTAAATGACTGCTGTTTGTTCCACCTTATGGTCATCCCAAAATAACAGAAATATCCCTAATTCATGGTTGTTGTGGGTTTTCCGGGCTTTTTGGCTGTGTTATTAAGATTTCTCTTCCTAAGATTTTGCCGGTCTCTGTGGCTGGCGTCTTCAGAGGACAGGAGGCAGAACTCTGACTGTGCTCTGTTCTGAGTCCTGTCCTCTGAAGATGCCGGCCACAGAGACTGGCAAAACTTTAGGAAGAAAAACCTCCAGGACATGGCCAAACAGCCCAAAAAAACCTACAACTACCATCAGATCACAGCCGTGAAAGCCTTCAAGAATACATCCCTAATTCAATCCTGGTTTTGCACATTTTCCTGAAAACAGTGCACTTGCCATTGTAAACTTATTTTTCAAAAGTAATTACAGTTTTAATTAAAACATGTTTTTAAAAAAGCTGTTTTTCTTCCCATTCTTGACTTTCTCCACAAGCCAGTGAGAAATAGTGTATGTGATTATATGTAGCCTTATTGATCACTTGGCCATATCCTTTCCATTCTTTGTATCAGAAGTAGGATATTTTACTTTTTACGACTCAGGCTTCCAGAACACCTGGTGAGCATGACAAGTCATTTGATGAACTAGAGTCTCAAATTCGCCCCCCCCCCATTTCTGCTATATGTTAATTAATAATACTCATTTGTATTAGCTGACAGCAGCTCACAGACCATCCACCTGGCAAAGGGACGTCACTCAAAATTCGAAAGTCACAGAATATAACATAATTATTCCTCCTTAGGAAAAGGATAATTTTGTTTATAAATGAGGAAAGGAACGTTTACTGAAAACATTGATTAAAATATTTATGACAGATGATGCACAAAAACCTGTCAGTTTGAAAGCCCCTTTCTTGTGGGTACATCTAAGTTTTCAATCTTTGTTTTCTCCACCAAGCAAGAAATATTTCTCTATGATTCATTGCTGTACAATATATCAAAAATATTTAGGCACATCCACAAGGATACGGCCCACTGAGGCCTGAAAAGCACCATATTTCAAGTCATGTAGATTTTCATGTATCATACAAAGCTGTTAAGGTGGCAACCATTTTCACAGGAAATCTTTCCCTCTAAATTTGAGTCTACCATCCCAGTGTTCCCAACTCAGTAATTATCCCACTGAGCATTTCATCTCATTATTGAAATCCTCTCTTTTTCTAACCCCTTTACCTCTCAGTGAACCGTCTCAGATTCCAGAGGCTGCACTGCTTTGCTCCTTTGAAAGGGATATGAAATAGAAAAGAAAAATGCTAATCTGCAGCAAAAGAAGAAGGGATGGGAGTGTTAAGACAAAATTTAGACTTTAGTGAAGAACCAAGACTGATGGGGAATTTGCAGACAATTTGAGTAATTAGAGACTATGGAGGCTTAGGGCAAGATTCTCCTGCCGTCACTGGGAGGAGACAGATGTTTCCTGTTGCCCCACTCCTGAAGCGTATTGATTGTACTTTAGCTGACAGGAACAATTATTATTTATGCTACTATATCAGCTTCCGCTCATCTGAAGAAGCAAGGCATTAAAATAGGAGTGGGCTATTCTGTTAGTTAGGTTGGCTGTCACATCCCTTCTCTCTGACACTGATTTCAAACCTGTCTTTGCCTTGTCACTTGACAATTGAGGTAATCGTGCCTTTAAATCACCACAGGAATAAATGTCTTTTCTTTAATAACCTTCTCTTATTTCTTTTTTCACTGCCACCAACCTTTACCTGCACCCATGTGAGAAAAGTTCAATTTCCTTTTTCCCCCTTTTCAATATATAAAATCAATATATTCCTTTTAAAAGCCTTATGCCAGCATAAAGCACAAAGAGCTTAACCAAAAAGAACTTTGCCCTCAAAACATTTCTAAATGCCTCTCAAGGATACTTTCTCTCCCCCTCCCAGTTTGGAGTAAAGCAGACTGGGAAGATAAGGGAAAGTTGGACTGACATTTGTAACACAGAAAACTCTTCTAGCCATTTAACTCTTTGTTCTCAAAATATAAAACAGATATTGTGTCCCACAGTTGTATCCATGTAATCAAAGTAATTTTGATGTTTTATATAAAATATCAGGTGGCGTCACAAGACTAAAAACACACACCTTTAGTACAAGGCTATGCAGCATGTAAACTATGAAGAAAGAAGTGCCTAGGACATTTCGGTCTAATGATCTCAGCTTGTTATGACTGAAATTCCCATAAGGGAATGGCTTTTCTTTCACTATGGCGAGATGACATGATTCGAATCTAGGCTCCTGTCACCTCTTTTCTGCAGAAACTGTTATCTTTTAATAAAAGCCTATACTAGAAAATCCAAATTCCTGTGTTGGGTTGCTGAAATTCCCTTTCTTTACAGGTACCCAAAGGAGTTGGCTCCTGACAGATTAAAACAAACCAATATTTTTACAACATCTCTAGGTGTGTGCATTTTCTCCTTTACTCAGGCTCTCATAAAACCCTCCATGTAGCCAGCCCTCAGGTATTGAACTCAGAACCACTCAGCTGAACAGAACAAATAAGTTTCATTAAAATATTGGTGTTAAAATAACATTGTTTATCCATAGGCTTTAAATTTGCTCAGCAGAACCCTTTACTTCTTCCTCCACTTTAAGACGTCTTTCTTAAACCCCAGACTCCAAAACCACCCTCTCCCTTGATCTCTCCACACCGGACTGCTCTGTATCAGACTCAAGACCGATCTCGCTGACACACACATGTCCCCTCCTTATCTAGTTTCTCTCCCAGCCAATCAGAGCCTTTCTTACCAACATTCCAAGCTCCTCACTCACCCCTGTCATCACATACTTTCCAAACCACTCTAAACATCACCTTTAAATATAACCAGGCATCACACTGACTATATGGCTTCTTTAGGGAGGATTGTCTTCTATGTGAAGGGTGGACTTTCCTCATTTTGAAGGCATCTTCCATTTGAAGAATTATCTGGTGCAAGCCTAATTCAAAAACAAAGAACATTGTTTTATAAATTAAAATTGTTTTTAAATTAAAATTTTTAAAATTATATATTTTTATTTTATAAATTACAAGTTATGAAGATTTAGAAGGAAATTTAAAAAAAAATTAAAAAAAAAACGCAGGTGTAAATTCTGGTTGTCTGAATCTCACCCACCCACCCACCTCTGTGCCTGTTTGGGGTCCCAATCCTCCCCAGTGCTACTGAATCTCAACGTGAACCTGTGGGAACAGTCAAAACAAGTATCTTCCTTACTTTAAATTAATTGTATACATGGAAGACATTGTAGGTGACAGCACACCCTTGGCCATGAGAACAATGGAAGATGAGAACGAAGTGACAGCCATGTGCATCCACTCTCTGCTAGAGGTTGACTTCCCAGAACGGTTGCATTCACCACTTCATGGTGGGCAGCTTTGGAGACAAAAAAGTCGTACAACGAAGGTGCTGGTAGTGACTGGTCAGTGGTGAGGATGGTGCCTCTGTCCCCATAAAAAGAATGAGCGGCTGGCATTGAAATGCTCAAAGGGGCATGAGATGTGAGCCATAGGGCTGCCACAACCACCTCTTCCTTGTTCTCCTCTTCTTATGTAGGCATGTGCCCCTGCTATTACCCTCTTGTGAGTGAAAATATGGCACCGGAAAGTCTGCCTCTGTCATCCTCAGCCTTGCCTTCCTCTCCTTTTTTTTTTATAGCAACAGATGTATCTCTGCCACTGTAGCCCATCTTCTGTCACTATTCCTATCTCATTTCCACCTCCTTTCCCCCCAGTTATGGAACTGGGTCTGCCCCATCACTGTAGCTCCCTCCACTTTTGACACACTTTTTCTTTCACCACTTCTAAGATTTCTCTCTGAGATTCAAAGGATCCCTCCCCCACCCCAAAAAGGAAGTGACCAAACACCAGGGTATCACTTTCCTCTGAACTCAGCTAGAGCTTGGGGAAATTCCTTATTTGGGTACAACTCTGAAAATTATTGGAGGATTCTGGGACTGAAAATGGTAAGTAAACTTCACAGATGTGTTTAGTGGGGACATGGGAGAGGCCCTTCTCTGTTGCTGCTCACAGACTTTGGGGCTCCCTCCCACAGGAGGCCAGGTTGGGCCCTTTTTGCTGTCCTTCCACAAGCAGGTGAAGACCTTTCTCCCAGGAAAGTTTTCCCTCAGAGACTGGTTGCATGAGTGGCTTTTTTTGTTTTAATAGGTTTTTGTGCCTTGTTCCTTTGAGTGTGTTTTTGGTATAGCTTTTGTTTACCATTTCTTAGAGTGGTACGTGTAGGATCCTTTTTTGTATTCATATACTTACTTTCTTTAACTTTTTTTAAAATGATGTAAAGTGCCTTTTACATCATTAAAAGACCCTTTAAATGATCATTTAAAGACCCTGGTCTATATAGCTCATGCTGCCTCTGAGAGCTGAGGACTGTACCACTGACATGGCTGAAATAACTTCCCCAGTTGTCATTTATAGCATGTCAAAGTTCCTGAAATATTCATTAATTATTGGATATCACTTGTCCTGCACTGACGTTTCCTTCTGCATGGTGGCAGTGGAAGCAATGCCAGGGTTATAATGGCACCTTCCCAGGATGAGGGGAGCAGCAACACTCTTGATTTGAAGGCAGATTTGTGTGCCGTGTCCTAGGCACCGAAGTTGCTAGTTTCAGATCCAGGGCACACTGCTCTTTCTTCCTAACCTTATCCAACCTCATCTGCGAAACCACCCACACTCCCTATATTGCATGTACCCTGAGAGAGTACTATTTTTCACCATTTAATGCAGAAGCCCCGTGTGGTTAACTACCCCCACCCACCCCTTTCTCTTTTGGATGCAGTCTAGATCAGAGGCAAAGTTTGGCAAAGTTAGTGATACAGTCCTGTAGGGTGTCACTGGGAGAATGGTGCATCGGGAAAGGGGGAGGGAGGGCGGAGGGGAAGAAAGAATGATTATATGAAGGTGTGTATGGAATGTAAGTGCAACAGTATTAAAGGATCATCATCTAATTAGAAGGAAATGGCAATCCACGAGGATTTGTGTTGAGAGTAGCCTAGCTAATCAGAGCTACAAATAAAAATAAAAAATAAAACAAAACAAAAAAAGCCCTTAGAGTTCCTGATCGCCTCAGAAACCTGTTCTGGGCCTTATCATGGCCTTCCCAACTTGAAAGGTAGCAGCACAATCCCAGTGATAGTGGTTGTGTTCACTGCATTGGTCCACTTCGTCCCCTGCTTGGGAATCCCCTCAGTTGAGGACACTGTTTGTTTTCTTTCATTCAGGAAGAATTTAGACTGTGCTGGCTACCTGAGCACATAAACTCTCATAGGGGCCCACAGTTCACTGTTTGGCCCTGGTATTCAAATCCCTGGATGTGCAGCTTCACATTTCCTCAACCCACCGCCTCAACCGAATGGGCAAACTGAGTGTGATGCCGTTTCAGATGTTCTCCATTTCTTAACAGGGCAAGTGGGTTGACTTAGTACCCTTAGCACAGTTTGACTACAATAAATCCCAGAACTCTTCTATCAGGCAGTCCTCTCTTTTTTGTGATCTTTAGTCTGCCTTTTGTCTCCTGCCTGTCTCTGACCTTCAGTGGTTGTGGCTCCAAACCAAACATGCCAGGAGGTTTATACAGTGCAGGAACTTCTGCATCAGCCTAAAGAGGCCTACAAACATTTCGCAGACCAGCTTTGCTAACTTGGCCTTGTCCTGACTGTTGGGCACAAGGTGGGGCTGTCTACTTGGCACCTTCCTCTGGCTTAGCCCATTCAGTAGGCGGATGTTTGCTTTACCGGCCTGTCCTCCATAGTAGCCTCAAACAAGGGAGCAATTTACTGCCTTTGACTGTCCCTAGCCATATGCCGTTCCTGTCATCTTAGCCATATGTAATGTCAGGAGAAGCTGATAACCCTTTAGCTTACAGACTGAGCCCCAGATATTTTGCTGCATGGCAACATGATAGCTTTTGAAGAAACGCTTCAAAAATATGTTTATTCAGGAGAAGGAGGTCTCCTTGAGACAAATCCTTCTTCTCAGGCAGACCAAGGAGGCCAAATCCTCCAGCTCAGCTCATCAACCAGCTGGCCAAGGACTTGTATCTGAGTCCATAGCTCAGCTACATAAACCCCACATGGAAGCAGGAATTTGGTGGGCACCGTATCTGTCTTTTGAGGGTATTTTTCTGTGTTCTCTGACTTTCGTTGTTGACTCTGGCTGTTTACGACCTTTTTAAAAAAAAATGCAGCTTGACTTTATATTGCAGATCCTCCCTACTTGGTAGCAGTGACTGCTGGACTGGTTTGATCTTCATGTGGTCTTGTTAAGAGCACAGACCATTCCTTGTGTGGTTTCCCTCACACAGGACACTGTCCATTGTTTCTGAACATGTGACTGTTACAGTTAAGGATTATTGGGATCAAAATGGGTCAGATCACTGCTTAAGGATTCGGTCATGTTGTATCTTTTAATGATTTTTATTAATGATATATTGACATTGTGGAAGTAAAAAGAACAGAAGATAGTTTATAAATATAAAAAAAAGGTTTTGGTTTATCCTGATAGGGAATCTAATAATCTAAAATCATTGAAATCCTCCATTGACAAATTCTAAGAGTTATGCATTCATAAATATCTATCCAGGATTTCTTGTAATTTGTTATATTTACTGTCAAGAGCTTGAAAATACTACTTTTCTGAAACTATAATGCACAGAATTCATAGTCTGTTCTAGATGCAGGACCCCTTGGAGTTATAGTCCAGCAATGTCTATGCCCCAAATTTATTGGTAAGAATTAGTTTCAGCTGTTCTTATTATGCAGTTGCCCCATCTTGTTCACAGAACTTAGAGGAATGGGGTGTCCATATATTATTTTCATTTTATTCTGATCCCGTATTTTCCTACCTTTTGTTTTTTTTTTTAACAATAGGAAGTTAAAAGCTGAGGGTAGATGGAGAATGAATGGCTAAATAGTAGCATTGGATTTATGTTTCCTCTGTTTTAATAGTCCATTTCACCATGGTAACTTATACTTTCTTACACCTGGCTTCCCTTCAAGGATTGATTAGCTGGCTCAGTGAAAGCATGATCTTCCAAATGAACATTTTCTGATCAACATCCCAATTTCAGCCCTATCTTATAGACACTAATGACCCAGTCTATGTCAGCTACTGTCATCCAGCACACTGGTTCTTAACCTTTGTTACTCAGATGTTTTTGGACTGCAACTCCCAGAAGCCTTCACCATCAGCTCTGCTGGCTGGGGTTTCTGGGAGTTGCAGTTCAAATACACCTGATTAACAAAGGTTAAGAACCACTGACTAGCACATACATTTCTTATATTTTTCTGCCTTTTGTGTCTTCACCTTGATTATTTACAGTAATTCCCTCTTGGCTGCAGCTGAAGCACATCTCACTTGCTTCTTTCTTCCACCATTCCATTTGAATTATCAAGATTTACTTTTTTTCTTTCAGCCTTTTCTTCCTCCTCCTCCTCCAGTAACAGTGCCTGAAGCAGCTTATAACGTAAACATTCACTATAGGCATAACAATTCAAAGCTGTGGAAGCCATTACAAAAAATCTTTTGGGTGAACATGGAATAAAACAGCAATTACAGTTTCACATAAAATCTGAACAACTTAACAGAATCCAGAAGTTTAAATTAAGCAGGAGAAAGAAGCCAATCACCTTTACCTCATTGACCCACTAAGTGACTAAGGGAAAGATGGGTACCTTTGGAGGGTCTGTGAGCCAATAGTCCACCCCAGGACCCACCGAAGATTGCACCGGTTTTGAAAACAAGCAAAATTTATGAAAAACCAAAACAAAATATTTCTGGAACTCCGGTTCCAGATTGTTTGGAATTTCATTGCAAAAGCACCACTTCTGGAGGCTTCCTGGAGTGAACAGCCAAGGCCCCTGGACTCCACTTTGCACACCTTTGTGCTAAGGAGACAAGACCAGATTGAACATCTCAAATCCAAACTCATGTCATGGAGTACTATATCCCACAGGCCTCCGTCTTTTCTCCCCAAGTTCAGAAATGATTCTTTTCAGAGGGAATAATTCCTCCCTTCCAGTTATGGGAGAAGGTCCTAAAAACAGTACATCTTAACTGGTTTCCCTCTAGGAAGTTCCTGCAAAACTCATCATTTACTGATTGCTTCTTTTTTAACCTACCACGTACCTACTCCCAATTGTTTAAAACCCTTTCCCCTTATGATAGGAGAGTCACACGATGTCTTTAGTACAATTATAGAACAGTTTGGAAACTGTGTTTCCCAAGTACTGCAATTGGTGGTCTCATTTTGTAAAGGCAGGGAATGTTCTGCTTCTGTCCAGAGGTTGTGTTCCTCAGAAGACACTCCAGCTTCCCCTTTCCTCTCATTCTTTCAACCACCCTTCTCATCTCTCTTTCTCTCAAGACAGCTTATCCAGAAGTCTGAACTGATAGCTTGTAGAGG